TTTTTGTATATTTTCCATTCGTGTAAAAAGCGCGGGAAGAAAATTATATTTAATTACTCAAGCAAAAGCATGACAAGTGAAAATGTCGCCTGGCCGAGAATCCAGAATCCAGAGTCCAGAGTCAGACCCAGCAGGGCTGTCAGCTTGTCAGGAGCAGGCTCCGCTTGCCGCTCGCCATTCGGCATTCAGGATTCAGGATTTGGAAAGCCGCTGGCGCATTTGGTCATCCTCTGCTGTGGCTATTGTTGTTGTTCTTGTTGTTGTTCCTGCTTTTGTTTAAATTTAAATTTTATAAATAAATCTACATGAAGGCACGAGGCACAACATGGTGTGTCTGTTCGAGCACGAGCAAGTGGAATGTGACTGCAGTTGGCATCGCTGTTAGGGCCACTAAACAAAAGCCGGAACTGTTTTACATTCGTCCTTCCATTCTCACAGGACACTTATTTGTGGGTGGCCTGCAAAGGAAAGGTCCTGTTTGGGGTCAGTTTAGCTTTGGGGTGCAAAATGTTTGGCCAAAAATTATTTATCATTAGTCTTCTTAATATTTCTTACTCCAAGGAGCAAGTTTTAATGGCTATCCTTGTTGCAGGATAATTTGTATTACCTTGCAACCGCCTATGTCCTTGGATGCTTAATGCCTTCAATTCGACAGACTTGAACGCCTTGAGCACAATGTTAATCCGATGTAAGCTCGTGTCCAAAATCCACAGATCCCCACGACATGCTTCAATTGTCCTGGACTCCGGACCCAGGACATATTGTTCTCACACACACACACACACACACAGAGCCATCACATGTGCTCACCTTTGCCATCAAAAGGCAACCACAAGGGAGAGCAGGACGAAAAAATAATCACAAGGATGGGAGGACACACGGTGGAAAAAAAGTGGAATAAGGGGAGGCCGATGGGCGATGGGGAGGTGTGGAAATAGTCGTAGAGATAGAAAGCGTACAAAAAAATCTCAGCTGCAAATGACTTGTGTGCCATTGAGATAAACCCAAAATTTATTTATTTTTACCATAAACCCGAATGCAGTCAAGGCAGAAAGGACTTTTGGCTAGCCATTGTGTGTTCAAAAGTGTGCGAGTGTGTGTGTGTGTGGCAGGCATTTTGTTGTGCTTGTATTTGTGTTTGAGCTTTTTCGGCAGCAGCAACAACAAAAGCGATGACGATGGCAACTAACTACAAATCCGTAGGCAATTAATTTGGCTGGAAAACCCAAAAATACAAAACACACCCGCATCTCAACACACACACACACACGTACAATACATGCATGCGGAAAATAGGCAAAAATATTAAATGGAAATGGAAAAGCGCCGCCGCGTTCACAGTCGACGCTGCGTCAGCGTCAGTCACTTGCAAAAAAAGTATCCTGAAAATAAAAGAGAAGAATGAGAGAGGAGAATCTGAGGGGAAAGAAAAAACAGTTTGAATGGAAATTCAATTGAGTGACATGAAAATGGAATTTTTCATATTTTCCTGATGTTGTTGCCGAGAGGAGGAGCAGTAGCAGGAGCGTGTTTGGCTGCCAGGCACATCACAAACACTGTTTTTGTGCCTCGTGTTGTTGCTGTTGTGGCCGCAATACTAGTAGCAACAACTGGAGCAATAGCAACAGCCAGCATAGAGCGGAATGAACGCAAGGACCAAACGCCTGCCAGCCATACCGACCCAGCAACATCCACACAAACACACACACACACTCAGTCATCTCTGGTGGAGGAGTCCTGTCGGAGATTATGCCCGTCCCTGTCATTGCTCTACCATCCCCCCACCGCTCCCTCATGCCTCCCGCTTTCAGCATCAACACAAAAAAAAAGTTTGCTTCTGACATTTTCATAATTAGGTATTCAAAATCTTTAATAACGGTTACTCTTGCTGGTTGTTGCTATTGCTGGTGTTGCCATTGCTGCTGCTACTGCTTCTGAAAGCTGCCAGTTGCCATTGCTATTGCCTCACATACACACAAACACACACACACACCCACACACACGTTATCCTTATTCAGTTTTTGTGTCTTTGGGGCATACAACTGTTGTGGCTAAAGCTTTGTGGAAATAGATGTTGCTGCTGTCGCTGTTTGCTGTTGCTACTTGCCGCTCCATGTTGCTGCTGCTGCTGCTACTGTCAGTTGCTTGTCTTCGTTTTAGATGATTTTCAAGTAATTCAGATGATGTCCTGGCCAAGTTACCTTAAGACAAGTCTTGGCCTGATTGATTTCTAGTTTCCCTTTGGAGTAAAAAGTGTGTAATTGCTGCTGTCATCACCCCCTTTTTCTAAAATCTCACGGCATTGTCCACACTTCACTTGCAGTCGTCCCGGGCCGTCGTCCTTTTGCGCTCTTCACTCTTTTACGGCCAAAGGAAGCCGAGTCCTTTCTTGGCTTTTCATGTCCAAGACAGGCAGGCAGGCTGACTGGATGGCTGGATGGCAGGCTGGCTGGCAGGATGGCTGGCAGGATGGCAGCTGGATAGATGGGCATGGAGGGCGACAATTTTAGCGCGACTTCTGGACAGGACTTCCGCTGAGCCGAGAAACGGCGTGAGAAAACTTAATAAGCCTGGCCCAGTGGGTTGTCAGTTGGTTTTTCCCTATTCTGCTGCCAGTTTACAGCCGCCCCACTACGGAGTGTTATCTCCTCGCACTCAGTTGCCGATTCCCATATCTGGCCGCCCCCAGCAACTCATCTTCCAAGCCCATTATCAAAAGTCAGTCAATGCCACACACACATACACCCCACTCAGCCCACCCCACATTTTGCGCCCCATTGAGGAGACACCCAAACAAACAGCTTCATTTTGACCTGCTGGCCTAGAGGACGCATCAAGTGGGTGGCTGATGGGTGGCGGATGGGTGGTGGGCTCTGATTTTATTTGCCTGCTGAATTGGCGCTGAGCAAACAACTTCCTTATCTGTGCGATACACGCCGCCGTCAGATAAACACAGCGACGCATGTGCAGCAACATCAGCATCAGCTTCTGAAGCAGCAGCACCACCACTAGCAACAGCAACAACGTGTCATTCATTGTTTAAAATAAAAATTAATAATTCAATTATGCGTCAACAGCCCTCTTGTTTGTCCGCCCACCCCGCCCCCTTCTTATTTTTTTTCTGTTTCTGTATTTTTGCGACTGGCCATTTGGGAGCGGACTTTTGGACACGGACTGGTAGCAGCTGTTGCCAGCCGATGTATGCCACTCCAAATTGCCGTGATTTCATTCAATTTGTCGCAACAGCAAAGGCAGCAGCAACAAATGTTGCCACTTGCCTGGCAGCGCGGCCCAAAATTGTTTTCGTTTGCTACGTTTCATGAGAATATTCCACTCTCCTCCTCGTGCTTTCTCTTTTCCATTCCGCTTGTGCGAAATGCGCATAAAAAAATGCTGTGTCCACCGCCCACAAAAAGGCCATACCCCAATGCCACCACCATCTCCTCTACTTAACCCCCCCGCAGCAGGAGCAGCATCAGCATCAGCATGAGAATCGCAGACGACGACGACGACGTCAGGCTGGTGTGCCAATGCACAATTGTTGTTTGTATGAGAAAATCTCGCCTAATGGCGTTTTACATTATTTGCCGCCTGATGCTGCCACTGCCAACTGCTACCAAGTGGCAGTAGTAGTAAAAGAAGCAGGCAGCCTGCTTCTACCGCCCCACCACCCAGCTACCCAGCCACCCAACCACCCCCTTAGATTTTCCGGACCCGGTTCGAGTGCCAAATATTCGCTCTATCCCTGTCGCTCCACGTTCAAGTTTGTGGCTTAGGGTGCTCGGCTGTTCGTTTGTGGCAAGTTTTCCTTGTGGCAAGGAAAAGAGGCAGGGCAGGGCGGGGGAGGAGAGGACTGCCGGCTGGACAAGATGAATGGCCACTTATTGGCCAAAAGCGGGTTTTGTTTAAATTGTGGTGGTCAATTTGTAGGAATGTATTGAAACGTCTTCGCAGGCGTAGATTGATGGTCCCGCCAGATGGCACCTCCTGCATCTGTGGGTGGGATAGATATGTCAATCGGGCGGTTAATAAGGACTATTTAGTGGGGGTTTTATAGGAAGATTCTTATACTACTCATAGTTGAAACTAATCTAATTATGATAGTATCTCTATTGATTGCAATCAGCACATCCTGAATTAAAATAAATGATTTCCTTGAGAGGTAGACCATCATTAGCTAAAACCCCAATTGCATTCCACACTGATCTCTTAAGACCATTACCAATTGGCATCTGCGGATCCCACATGGAATCGGATTGAGATTCGAATTCGAATTCCGAACCAAACTAAATCGCTTCTAATTTGCCAGCTCATTTCGAGGGTCTGGGCTTCCCAAGGGGGGTTTCTCAAGGGGGTGGACATCAGGACATGGTGTGAACACGCGCATAAGGCCATTTAGGGATTTGGGTGAGGTGGTGGTGGGTGGGTCGCTGGGTCTGTGGGTGGGTGGTTGGGTGTTGAAATGTGTGAGAGTGTGTGTGCACAATTGGTTGGCAATTTATTTAAATATCGGCACGCAGTTGGAAACGCAATGCCAACTGGAATGCCAAGGCAGCGAAATAAACGCGAAACAGAGACAGAACGAAACAAGCTGCTGCCAAAAAGGAATTTTTCAGCTGCCGCCAAGGAGGTTTATTTTTGGGGCACAGGGGAGTGAGGCGCGTCCAGAGGCTGAGTAGCAGCAGCAGCAGCAGCAGAAGCAACGGCAGCAGCTGATGTTAATAGCCCAGCGGGCCAAATGCCGGCGACGTCGCAATACCAACAACAACAGCAACAAGAACAAATGTCTGGCAGTTGTTGCCTGTGCCCAGCGATAAGGCCAAGGAGATGAAGGAGAGGCAGGCACCGAGGGAGGGTCGAGGGTGCGAGGGCAGCTGAAACAGCTGTTCCATCTGCGACTGCGCAGGCGCCTCGAATGCCGAATCCCCCGAATACCAAACATCCGAACCCGAACACTCAAACACTCGACCAGCAACCCAACGAACCATCGCTACCTGGCCACTTTGCTCACAAACAAACTCAACTTTCAACTGGTCGGACGTCCCTCAATCTCAATCGCATTCCGACCACGGCGCATTCCACTTCCGCGTGTTCTCGTATCTCGAGTATCCGACGAGTATCTGCACTCGCGCTCATAGCCACATCCATAAGATACTTTCGCCATTCAGCCAGTCAGTCGCTTGGCATTGCTCCGAGATGCCGGTTCGCGAGTCGCGCACCTCTCGCCACCATCTACATCTCCGTCTCCGCCACCGATGTTGTTATTGTTTCTCGATCCGCAAACAAACACTGAATGTTGTCGGTAACTCAGCAGTGAAGTATTAACTTTCGGAGACCCAAACAAACCAAATCAAAATAAAGCAATTCACCAGAAATACAGTCTATCGTGTAGAACCTTCTCTCCCGCATAACACCGCATAAAAACATCAATTGGAACAGATCTGGCCAAAATGGTGAGTAGTCGATGCGAATTATTCGAGTTCCGGCCAACACATGTTGCTTTTGGCCAGCTGTCTTCTGCCACTCAAAGTGTCTCCTGCCCCCTGTATAGCTATTGCTCCGCACAGATCCATTTCCAGACATCTATGTATATTATATCCGAGATACTATATATGTCTGATGGCCAGGTCACATCTGTTTTTTATTTGCTCAAACAAATTCGCCAAGCAGCACAAATGCAGATACAAATTCGTTTGTCAAGTGCTCGAATAATAGTTTAAGATGAACACACAGACTCTCATACGGGCAGCATCCCAGCATCCCCATTAGGATAGGGGCTGGGGGTTTTGGAAAATCTCGTTTTCCCTCTGCTTTGTCAGTTTCACGTGCGAAATTATAAATTATTTGCCTTCTTTTTGCTGCTTTTGCTCTCCTCCGGAGAGACTGGGATTGTGGCACTGAGACCGGGCTGGAGTCTGGGATAGAAGAGGAAAGGGGCCGGAAGCAACATCCACTGGGTTTTTGGTCCATGACTTTGGCCGCCGTCTGTTTCTGATGGCCTTGTGCGCCCGCGTTCCCAACAGAAACAGAACTTCCAACTGCAAATAATTGCAGCTGGCTGCCATGTGTCGCCTCTGACGTTGTTGCTGTTGCTGTTGCCGCTGTTCATGCCGCCGTCTGTCGATTCCATCTGCCATCCGTCGTCATACTATATATTATCCAAGGGCCAAAGCCCGGATTTAAGTTTTGGAAACGCGGGAAATTGGGAAAATATCATCAACAGAAGTGGGTTTGAAAAATTAATGTAGGATGTGATGATGTTAAAGATGTGAAAGAATAACCCATAATACTAGATCAGTTACAGCGATTTTAAAGATCTCTCTCCTCACTCCTCAAATATAATCCATATCCTTAAAAACAACATAATTCAAGGCTCACTAAATTGCTTTTAACAACTTACAACGCCTAATCTAGTTGAAAATAATTTACCTGTCATAATTATCGGATAGCCGAGGATCGCTAAATTCTGGGGATGACTGCTGAGGCCAGGGCCTGGTGACTCACCTGGAAATCACCTGGTTGATCTGGCCTTGGCCAGAGGCAGCTGTTGCTGAAAGAAAGAAGAAAAGAAGGAAAGGAGAGGAAGAAGGCCCAAAGAGAGATGGCCAAGATGCAGATGCAAAGAAGTAGGAGAAGTGTAAGGCCAGCTGCCTTTTGGCCTTTTTGCCATTTTACTTGACCCGACGATCTGAGGGATCATTTACTGGTGTTGTTGTTATTGTTATGGCTATTGTGGTTGCCATTCCATCTCGGCATCTTTCCTGCACCACTTGCCGGTTGGGCCTGCCTGTCATTGGCATGACACCTGCATAAACATTATAACAGCTTGTAGGCTCACTCCGCGGTCTGTTTTCTGTTTTTTTCCGCCGCTCATTAAACAGCTCACAGAGCCACCGCAAAAACATCTCGGAGTTGGCCCTAATTGGGGGTTTGGCTAATTGATACTCAGTTGCCAGTTGATCAGTTTGTGGGAAATTGGCAGGAGGATCTTACTCTCCCACACAATTAGCCCACTTATTTACACGCAAATTGCCAACATTTCAAGTGTCTTTGGCCAAACAGGCAGCTTAATTGTACAATATATCAGTTCAGGCCTAAACACTGTCAGAGGCAATCCAATTAGTGTCAGCAATTTAATTTTGTTTTGGCCCCTGGGCAGCTCAGCTGGCCAGGCCCTGTCTAATCAGTAATCAGCGGCCAATCAGGCATTCAACAAAGTTCTATTAAATAATGCATTGCACTACACACAATCACGCTCCTTTACCCCCCAAGGTTGGGTGCAATTGGCATTGGGTAGGGAGGGAGGGGGTGGTGGCTGCACATGGTGATTGCATTTAAAATGGACAGCGGCGAAAAAGGGCAAAGTTATTAGCGTAATAGTCGACGGAAAGCCCACACACAAAAACACACTCACACACACACAGACATGCGGAAAAGTTGGGGGAAACAGGTGAAAATGCACATGACAAGTGCAGCTGTTGGCATCAAATTAGTCCCGGCCACATGTGCCGCGCTTTTGCCAAACCATTGCCAACCCCCACTTTTGGCCAAATCCCAGTCCAACGGCATACCGGCGGCGGCAATCCATCAAGAGCTCAATCAATCATTAGCAGAGCAAACTTTGAGCGGCAAAAACAAAACAAAACCCAAAGAGAAAAAAAAATGGGAAATGGGAAAGATGGAAAACGGGGGGCACAGAGATGTGGCATGAAAAACCCAAAACAAACAGAATAAACTTTGGATTTTCACACCTTTTGCAATTAAGATGCCGACTCTGGCGCCCGCCTAGACGACATTGACTAATGAGACGCCATTTTGTTTGCGGCCGGGGCAGCAGCTGAGCCAACAGACAACATGGCGACCGGAAATAAGTCAATTTGCTTATTAGAACGACAGACGGGGAGCCCAGGCCCCGTCGAAAGCCAATGGAAACAGAAAACGGAAAGCAGAAAACTCGGCTCAAAGCTCAAACGCAAACATTGCAAACGAAACGGAAGATGGGTTTTCCTTTATTTTTCCCTCGATTTTTTTTGTCGGGACGGGGGGAGAAGTGGGCGGAAAATAAAGCCAAAAAATCGCGAAAGTGTCACACACAGAACAGCCACTAACGGTCCTCTGTGTGTGCGACTCTGTGTGGTTGCATACGCTTAATCGAAAAAGTCAAAAACAAAATTCGGTGTCGTTCTCCAGCTACGTCCTGCTCTCCTACTACAAGCTCCTAGTTCTTCTGTTTGCCTGACTGCCTTGCTTTTTCCATTCTATTTTTTTTTGTTTGCCCAGCTTTTCCACGCTACCCCCTGCCAGTTGCCCTCCCTGAGGTTCTGAGCTCGATTTTCCTCCGCTTTTCCGCTCTTGCTGTGTTGTGGCTTTGCCAGCAAAATTGTTGTCGCTGCAAGTGGCAGCTTATTAAAAAGACGTGGGCCACACAGCAAAGCACAAAATGTTTTGGGGGCAAGCAAAAATGTCATAGTAGAGCGAGCGCAAAAAAGCAAGCCAACAGCAAGGATTTTTTCCCCCCAAAACAATGAAAAAATAAAGCGAGAATTGCTAGTTCTAGATATATGGGTATACATAGATACACTTATAGAAGATCATCATGTTAGTCAGTCTATTGTTAAATAGTTTCTTCATTTTTTGAATGATAAATTTACATTTAACCCTTAGTCCTACCACTCAAAGTCTTAATCCTAACACCCGTAGTGTCAGCTGCAATCCTAAGCCTGCTTCCGCTTCCGTTTCCGGTGCCCTCTTATGTTTAAAACATTCGGCTCAAACAAAAAACTATGTCCACGAGTGCCGCATGTCCAGTCATTCACAGGACATTCGCTGGCAAGTTACCAAAATGAAATTGTCCGCCCCCACAGGCCAGTCGTCCTGAATTGAATCTGCCAGGCGGTACAAGAGTTGGCCTTAAATCTCCAGCCTCAGACGGGCTGGGCTGACCTTGCCTCACACACACACAGCCGAGACCATCTGGGGGAGTGGGGTATGCCCCATAGGACGTTGGGATAAAAACGACAAACGAAGCAGCTGGCCCAGCTGCCGCAATATTTCTTACGCCAGATGAAACGCAGATGATGCCGGCAATGGCAACGGCAACGGGCAACGGCAACGGGCAACGGCAGCAGCAACATTGAAGACTGAAAAACAGCGCCCGCCAAGTGGCAGCAGCTGCTCCCCCCTTTTGCTGCCCAAGACACCCTCCCCCTCTTGTAACTTGTCAGGACACAGTTGTTTGAGCTGCTGCCTCAAGTGTCTGCAACAGATTTGTGCCAAAAAAAAAAAAATTGAAAGAAAAGAAAAAGGAATACAGAAAACTCAGCAGGATTGCCGTTGCAATGGCATGTGTTGCTCTTGCAACAGCAACACTCATCGATTGAGTCTAGACTCTGGAGAGGCAAGAGAGGCATGACATAACATCCTACTGCACCTGCAGGCACCTGGAAAAAGTTGCTTCTTATTAGAAGTGGACGGCACAGGTGCTGCGATATGAGAAAAGCCGTCGGGGCCATCAAAAGCACCTGCTGTCATTCACAATTTTTAATTGAAAACGGCAGTGGTCGCTGAGTCTTTTGTGGCTCTGGCAGTTGCTGTTGCTGTTGCTGCTGCTACTGTCTAGTGCAGACTTGGCCAAAAGACATCAACGCCGACACGTGCCAACATGTGTTGCCAGTTGCCAGTTGCTTGGCTTGTTTCTGCTGCGAGTGGCAGTTGCGAGTTGCCTGTGGCAGACAACCTGGCTATCTTGAAGGCAAAAAAAAAAAAACCTGAATGGCGTCACGTGCCACAAGGCTGGCAAAATCATTTTCCAATCAGAGAAGAGAACAAGCGCCTGAAGAAGAGCAACGAGAAGCGCCGGCAGGCCGTGGCAGCTGGAAAATCTTCAGTTGCAGCAACACATGCTGGAAAATTGCATTCGAAATCGCCGCATCGCCGCAGGAACAGAGTACGGAGGCAAGAAAAGTGGCAGCTGGCGAGCATCAGATGCTGCTGCTGCTGCCTGGACTGGCGTAATTGGGATGCCTAAATACGTTTTGTGGGCAACATGTGGCAGGCAAATGTTCTCCAGTTACCCAACGCACACCCCTTGATGACCCCTCTGGTCCACAGTCTCTCCCCTTTTGGCCACTCTGGACGTAAAGCAGTTCGTATCGGAAATAAAACAGACCATAAAGCCGATTAAGCGCGACACTCGCTCAACTGTTTTTTCCCAGTAGTTGCTGCTGTGGTGTTGCTGTTGTTGCCCTGTGACATGCCATTATCTTATTATGCCTCGCACAGGCTGCAAATGAAGGGTGAACCCAGAGCAGGGGGTGGCACGTGCGGCGGATAGTGCAAAAATGTTGATGTTGCAAGGGCCAGCGGGGGGCACAACCCAAACCGTCCTGTTGCTGACTGTCTGGGTGTGTGTGATGTGTAATTTAAAATGACGCCAATGCTGCGGCACGTTGCCAACAGACTCGCAGAAACACACACACACTCACACAGAGGCAGGCAGGCAGACAGACAGACAGAGTCGGTGGCAGACTGAGAGGCGCTTAGCAAATAGTTGACGAGGGTCGCCACTGCAGTTGCTAGCGGTGTTTAATCGGCTAATTAATTAACTCAATTGCTGATTAATTAAACGTGTGAAAATATGGGCTATTAGTAGAGAAGCAGGGGATTAAACAAGAATAGGGGTGTTAACAGTAACTGAAAGAGTTTTAAAAGCTTCTAACTTAAACTAGAAGCCTTCAAAGTAATACCAATAATTCAAATCGATTTAAACAGTATCCTTGATTTATTAGTTCTCCCATCGGTTCTCACTTGAAATGCCCGTAATGTTCAAATAGCTGTAATTGTTCGTGCTTGTGCCGTATAATTATCCCTCACGGAAGCCCTCCGGCAACCTTTGAGGGTTAATGCTAATTACCCCAACCCCACACCCAGATCCTCCCCCGGCGGGAAACTCTTCGCACAACCCATTTTTCGCCAAACGCCAGCATACATTTGTAGCTTCATGTGTAATGAAGCAGCTGACGCAGCAAGTTGCAAAAAAGTTTTAACTGTAAAACACTCACACACTGGGACTCTGATGTTGCCGCTGCTGCTGCTGCTGTTGCTGCTGCTGCACAGGTGTCGTCGCCAGTAATCTCTCCCAGGCAGGAGCCGGATGGGCAGAGCAGGAGCTGTGGAAATGGGCGCCACTTGCGCATAATGACGCACAATGCGGACTCCGCAGAGCCGCAACAACAACAACAACAACAACAACAATACAAAGTGCCCAGGAGTCCGAGGTTCGAGGTCCGGCTGGTTGTCATTCGCACACATACACACAGACACACATGGCAGGACGAAAATGGGCAGCTTACCGGGAAAGCACATGCAGCTGTGCTGTGATTTTCCAAGCTCTTGTCCAATCTGCTCACCCGGCGACCACCCCCCCCAAACTTGCCACCTCATTCACGGTTGGCCTTCAGCCACCCACCCTTACTCCCGCCATCAGCCTTTGTTGTTGTTATTTCAGTTGGCGCGCCTTTTCGTTAAACAATCTTCGTCCTGCCACCCATCCTTTCTCTCCATCGGTGTGTATGTGTGTGTTTGCGAGTGTTTTTGTTAGCAAAAGGGATAAAAGTATAAAATACTTTGGTGTCCAGCACATGGCTAACCGAGCCACGCCCCCATCAGCTGCTCCCCCCATGCCTAGTAAGAATTAAATGAATGTCGTTTAAAATTTGGCCTTTTTTTATGATCTCTGCCAGCCTAATTGAAAATTATGCTTCGTAAATGTATTTCGCCGTTTCCTATTCATTTGTCAAATCGCTGAGAAAGGACCTCTAATAGTTGAAGTGTGTTCTTCGTGTCCTGGAAGGGGATTCCCCTTGGGGGAATATCAAGACCTGGGAAGCACTTTCCAAACAGTAGGCAGGTTGTTCTTAATCAGGAAACTTAAAAAAAAGTTGTAAAGTTTTTACTTGCTGTTTAAATAATTCATATTTAAGCAATAGGTGTTGTTAAATTTATAAGAAATTTATAACTTATTTTATGATTAGTATTATAATTATATATAATATATATTAGCAGACCAGGATAGTTTTTAGAACTGCCAATTGTCTTTTTACTTCATGGCTTTGTCACTGTTTTGTCTAAGATGACCCTTTTTATTCGAAACTTTTTTATCTTCTTAAAATCTATAGTATTTCTTTTAAATATTCATAATAATATTAAAAACTAAACCTTAAAGTTATTAGTAATTGAAACTTGTTACCCACTGTACTGCCTCCGCTTAAATAATTACTTTTCCTCTTGGCAATTTCGCCTGCAGCCGTCGCAGCCTCAGTTTCAGTTTCAGTTCAGCTTCGGCCTCAGTTTCTGCTTCTGCTTGGCCCTACTCCTGCTCCATGTCCTGCTCCTTGCTCTGCTCCTGCCGGCTTCAGCTGGCCCAAGTTTTGTGGGAAAAACTTCTGCGGGCGACATTTTCCATTTTGCTGCGATGGAAGCTTGTGAGGCTTCCAGCTCTTTGAAGTGCCTGCCTTACACACAATAGGGGTGGGGGATGGGGCGCCCGGGAGCCGGGAGCCGGGAGTCGGAGGCCGGAGGACGCCTTCTGGCGACGACAGGCGACAGCTGCTTGAGCGACAACGACACGGCTGCTCCTGACATTTGATTCATTCGTCATAGCCAGGGCCAAAAGCGGCAGCTGCCGGCTGGCAACGTTCGGGGCTATTAAGTGAGTCAGAGGCCCTGTGGCCCCCTTGCTCACAATTACGCTCACCTGCCGCCTTTCACAAACACTTGTTGTTTGCCCCACCAGCCAACCCACCCACCCACACTGGCAATATACCCTGCCACCCATCCCGTGCCCCATACTCCTCCCCTTGCTTGCCACTTTACGCATGTTGTGTCTCTCTGTAGTATTTTTTTGCAAACTGCTCTGGAAAGACCTCGCAAAACAGTTGTCAAGTGTTTTTCGTCTGGGGTGATGGAAGTTGAGGTACACTGAACGAGAAGCCTATGAAAGGTAAAGGTCATTCCTATTAATTAATTATGAAATACCTCCAAATATAGCTCCAATATGGAAGCTAAAAATAACTTAATTTCTTAAAAGACCTACTAAGAAACAAGCTTTCTTTAATTAATAACTACCTCCTTAATAGTTCTCTGTGCATCGGCCAAAGATCTAAACGTCTGGCCTGGACTTTCCCAGCAAAAATATGTTGAGGAGGGGGCAGAGGGGAAGGAGGACAGGGTCGTCATTAGTCGTCCCGGCACTTTGGCAAATGGCAGCTGCCGGCGTGTCAAGTGTTTGTTTTTAATAGAATTTCATTTGCGGCATTTGTGTGTAATTTTGCTCTGATGCCGAACAGCTGCTCCAACTGCTAAGCGGGCGCGGGGGATACCGCTGCGCCACCACCCCTACCCCTACCCAAGCCTCAGACCCAGTCGTCCCCCCCATCCATATGATTGTAAATATTGCCAAACCCGACGATTGACTTTAAACAATTGCTCTAAACATTTCTTGCACCTCAGGAAAAATAAAACGGCAGCAGAGATTGATCGAAAACATGAATGAAAATGAACAGGTTTACAGACCCGACCGCCACCCGCCACCCGGCTCTTGCCTCCTGCCCGGTGAGGTTCTGCTTCATGTTTTTCCCCCTCTTGTTTACGCAGAGGCACGGCAAGCTGCATAAACTCCCACAGTCCGCAGAGGTATTTACATATTTTAGTGATAAAAATCAACACACAAAAATGCTTTCCCCTCATGCGAACTGCGCCCGAGCTGAGAAGGGAGTGAAGGTGGATGTGGATATGGATGTGGGTGGTGGGCAGTGGGTGTTAGGTGTGTGGGTGGTGGAACTCCTGAGGAAGTAGATTGTAATGATTGGTAAACAGGAAATGCAGTTGCCGAGTCTATTAGCAAGACTATCCACTCGAAATCCTAGCCTCGACTACTATTTCCCAGAAAATGAGAAAATAAAGATTTCCCCCCAAGTGGAAAATCCATTCACTTGGATCTCTTTGGAATGGAAAATTCTCCCCCTCTATTGCTGCACAGCTGAAGACACCTGTCGTTTTGGGACTAGAAATTTATTTTAATTAATACTTAGCCCAAGAAAGCCAAAAAATAATGAATGCCATTGAAGAATGTCGTCAAAACATAAAAGATACTATTGGATTAAAAAGGCAATTAAGTTTGAAATAATAACAGAGCCCCAACAGAGGTTCCATTATTTAATGGCGAGTGCATATTTGAAATTGTTGCACTTAGACCAACCGCTTCAAAGCAATTTAGCCAAATTAAAGCGGCAGCACGGCAGCTGTTCTTTCTTCTCTGGCCCAAACAAAGAGCCGAGGTCCTTGGGCAGAGTGTAGACTCCTGGCGCGCCCAATTTGCATGTCAGACAACCATTTAATCAAATTGAAATCAAATAAGTTGAAAACATAATGTGAGAACTTTGTCACTTGATGTTTTCGTTGTCTGTCGCCGACGCAGCTCTGGGAACCTATACAGTCTGCCCCGGAAAATTAGCAGGGCGGGGGTAGTCTTGCTCCATGCTCCAATCGCTCCTTCCTCCGCCCTTTTATATTCCTTATTTTTCCCTATTCACTAACCGATTTTCCGAACGATTCCAGATGGCGCTCGACGGCAAGGCGATAATTAAGGAGGAGATTACCGACAAGGACGCCTACGACGCAGCGGCAGCAGCGGCGGCGGCGGTGGCAGCAGGTGCCGCCCTGGCGGTCGCCACAGCAGCGGCTGCCCAAGTCCCGCCCCCCTCCTCCTCCGCTTCGGGAGCGGGCTCGGCGTCGGCAGCGGCGGCGGCAGCGTCCAACAACAACTCAGCCACATCAGCAGTAACAGCGGCCACAATTAGTCGAAGACTTAAAGGTGAGTTCCTTAAACCATCTCTGTCTTAATAATTCCCTTCTAAGCTGCCTGTTATCAATTCAGAGACCTCGATATTCCACCTCGTACCTGATGGTGTGAAATCCAGCAGCTGTAGGTGTTCGAGCGACTCTTTAAAAAGTTGTTTCCTAGAAATAGCATCCCAAAACCTGAACTCCCCATCAGGGTATTTGAAATTCGTTACTTTTTCAATGGCGGCCGAGACCGCAAACCTCCAGCCCACAGCCAGAAACTTCACGAATTTGCGAATGAAAAAGGCCAAAAGCATTTTGCTAGTTTCCCCCATTTACCGAAAAAAAAACCGGACAATGAGGGAAAAAGTGGAAACCGCTTCTGGGATTGTTCCCAGCAGCTTCCCAGTGCGGCCCGCACGCAGGCGACCAGTTCGTTGCCTGCTTTTGGGGATGGCCTGGCCAGCAGCTTTGCTTTGATTGGCGCAGTTAGGGAGATACCTGTGAAAGTTCCCAGGCTCAAATGATGTGTGACCTGGAATTTAAGTCGCTTGAATTCTTTCCTTTCTGCCAGCAATTAGCATTTTCCGAGTACGATTTGTGCCCAAAACAGGCTGTTGTTGCTGATGCTGCTGCTCCTGCTGCTGCTGCTCCCATCCTTTGTTGCTTCCGATGATAATCAGAAGCAGTGCATGATGAATATTTGCCAAAATGATTGTTTTCCCAAATGACTATGCCAGCAACAGCAACAGCAATGACAGCAGCAACAGCAACAGCAACAGCAGCAGCACCACCAACAACAGACTAAACTTGCAAACGTTTCGTTTTGTGCGCTCGACTGCAATCTATGGGACGCAGCTGTGCAAATTCTGTTGCCCACATACATTCACACAGATACTCAAACACATACACACACATACACTCAAATATATACAAACATAGAGACAGGCAGGCTGGCTGGCTAGATGGCTGGCTGGATGGCCGGGACCACACTGCGTATACGTAACCTTAAATCGATGCCAGAGCTGGGGATACTGGCTGCTACTGGCAAATGTTGAGCCAGCAGTTGGAAATCCTTGCTGCTACTCCTCCTCCTCCTCCCTACTCGCACTCCTTTGAAAACATTATGTTTTAGAAAATATGTGAATTGTCAACACAAAATTTTCGTAAATAGTTTTTCGGTTTTTCGTGGCTTTTCTTTGCCAGCTGCTGCTATTGCCGCTGCCGCTGCTGGTGCTGGTGCCTCTGGTGGGATCTAACTTTGGGTCAGTTGAGGTTTTCCCACAACAACAGCCAAACCAAAACAAACCCAAAACTTTTAAGCCCGGTCAAGTGCAATATTTTACAATTGTTCACCCAGGGGCAGGAGGGAGCAAGGATGCGTGGGGGAGGATTGCCAGCCAATTAAGCCAGAAAGGGAGTTGGGAGGTGGGAAAAAAAAGTGGCAATGACGTTGGGACGACCATGTGATCCATCATTGTCTATGTTTGGCGTTTGATAAGCGCCGCCGACTCGGTTGAGTGATGCCTCTAGACGCTTGCCTCCGCTCCTTCTGGAGGATGGGGGCAGGGAGAGAGTGTGTGTCCCTTCGATTGGCATGGCGGTGGCTTGCCTGAATGGCTGTGAAAACACAGCCAGTTGCAGCTGTATCCACAATCATTATCACAAAAGCAAACTGTGCAGCAGCCGCACAGTAGCAAGAGTAGCAGCAACAGCAACAGCAGTAGCGGTAGCGGCAACATCAACTGACTGCCATTTCCATCGTAGTCGTCGTTGTCGTCATCATCGTTTTCATCATCATGGTCATCAGCAACATTTGCCACCCACTCCAGAGAGAGTCTGTTACCCACCCACGGCTACTTCCCTTCTGTCAGCCACCCCACCAGCCCGCCAGCCCGCTACTCTGCCACCCACACCCATAAACAATTTCCATTAGCTTGTGCAAACAAAGTTTGTGTGTGTTTGGCCATCACAGGCGACAAGTTTTTCCTAATTAGTATGGCTTGGTGTTTGGATAAAAGAGTTGAAAGGACATTTTGTTATTTGATATTTTTTAAAAAGTGAGAAAAAGGTTTAAAGAGGATTTGTAAAGAGAGTAGGTGACTTCGTTATAATGAGAATATATTAGAATGAAAATTAACTAAATAACCAATATCCTTAAGGACAAAGCCTTAAATAAACCTAAGCTTAATTAATCTTTATTTTTTAGTCCTTTAACCATTTCATTCCCTTCACTTTTGTCGCCTGTCGCCCAGCAGCTTCTCCGTCCAGCTGCGCATTGCGGATTTGCGTTAAGCTTTTCATTTTTGAGCTACAGCATCGCTCTGGCAGGATCATGGATGCGATAGGACAGCACGTAGCACACTGTGTTGGTTGTAGCCATCCTCCGCCCTCCGCTGCCAGTGCCCTTCCCGCATCTAGCCATGCAATTAGTGCGTTGGGCGTAGTAGTGGTAGTGGTGCTTGATTTGCTTCCTCGACTGGGCTGAGACCACACGGCACCACACTTCTGGTGGGCCAAAAATGTTTGCTAATTTATTTCCCATGTTCAAACAAATTTGTTAATGCCGGCAGTTGGTCGGTCGGTTGGTTGGTCGGTCGTTTGGTTGGCTGGTTGCATGCAACAAACAGTACGAGTGTGTACTTTGGCCTCACTACCAATGCCTCCACTCCGACGGCTTTGTGGGACAAGTGCTGTAGCTTGTTGTGGTCGGTGGAATATATATATAAATACATATTCCACTTCCGTTCCCTGGCCACCGAAACGCTGCTAATGCATTTGTAATGCGCCTGGCCTGCACATCCTGTCCAGGGTCTCGAACTTGGACTTGTTTCCCATGTTTATAGCCAAGACACATACATATATGATGCTAACAAGAGGCTTCTCTTGTCCTTCTCCTTTTTCCAGCCAACAGCAGCAGCAGCAGCAGCAGCGGGGACAAGAGCTCGTCTTCCTCCAGTAGCAGCAAGGACAGCATCAACACATCCAGCAGCCGCAGCGACAGGGATCGGGAGAGGGAAAGGGAACGGGAACGAGAGCGGGAAAGGGATCGCCTCTGCCGCACACCACCAGACTCCCCGCCGGATTCCTCGCGCAGCCTTGCCCCCCGCTCGCCCCACTCTCCCCTGCAGTTGCACCAGCGACCGCAGCGCACCGCCAGTGTCTCGCCGGTGGTTAATGGCGGAGGAATAGGATCCTCTGGAACCTCGCCCACACCCACTCCGGGCGGCCAGCATGCTGCCTCATTGGCAGCAGCCGCCGCCGCCGCTGCAGCCGCCCACGTGGAGCAGGCACGTCTGGTATCCAAGATGCGCAAGTTCCTGGGCGCCCTGGTACAGTTCTCACAGGAGCTGGGTCAGCCAGAGGTCAGCGACAGGGTGCGGGCCCTGGTGCTCTCGCTCTGCTGCGGCAACATTTCCGTGGAGGAATTTCGGCTGGCCCTGCAGGAGGCCATCAACCTGCCATTGCGGCCCTACGTCGTTCCGCTCCTGAAGAACAGTATTTCCTTGGTCCAGCGTGAGATCCTTGCTCTGGCCCGAGCCACCAACCAGTCCGCCCTGCAGTACGTGACCAACAACGAGCAGGCAGTGATGGAGTTTACGCCGCACGGCGTGGCAAGTGCCGAGTTCGGAGACATCTTCGTGCAACTGGAGGCGCCCACATCCAACGGCAGCAGCGCGGTCTTCAAGCGCCGCTCCTCCGATTCAATGATGGAACATGGCGGGCACAACGGACTGCAGGAGTGGAGTGAGTACATGGCCAGTGGAGGCGCCGGCTACCCGCCACCCCCCAGCAAGCGCCTGTCGTTGCACCCCGCCCACTCTGTGGTGGCGTACGGAGAGTACGGAGTTGGGGCAGAGGGCCTGCCCTCGGCGGCCGCATTTATGCAACGCGACGACAGAGATCTCCGGATGACGGAGCCACAAACCAGGCATCCGGCTCCCCCGCAGCGAGGCGGCAACCCGAATCCCAATGCTAACCCCAACCCCAATCCCGCTGCAGCAGCTCCAGCCGGTGGACAGGGCGGCGGGGCCGGTGGTGAGGAGGAGTGGAAAAACATCCACACCATGCTCAACTGCATCTCGGCGATGGTGGACAAGACGAAGCGGGCGATCACGATTCTGCAGCAGAGGGGCATCGAGCCGCAGCATCCCAACAGCGGTCAGGAAGTCACACCGGCAGCCATGGCCGAACTGCGGCGGCAAACGGAGGAGAAGGTGGCAGAGTTCAAGAGAAACGCCGAGGATGCAGTCACACAGGTGGGTCTAAGATCACCTAATCATATGCTTGACCAATCCTTGACCTTAAAAAATAATTTTTTAGGTCAAACGCCAAGCTGTCATTGAAATTCAGAGAGCTGTGGTGGCCGCCGAAACGCGGGCAGCGGAAATAATGACCCAAGAGCGCCTCCGCATGGAGAAGTTCTTCATGGAGATGAGTCGCCACTCCAGCGGAGAGCGGGATCTGGACAACAAATCGCCCTCGATGACCAGTGCCCAGAATGTAAGTTTTTCTTGGATATTTTCCTTAGAAAATATTTAAATTTTCGAATTATCCTTCAGGGCAGCAACTTGCAACAGCAGTGTTGGAATTGCGGACGCAAGGCCACCGAAACCTGCTCAGGATGCAATATGGCACGTTACTGTAGTGCCTCCTGCCAGTACAGAGATTGGGATAGTCATCATCAGGTGGGTGTTTGTTAAAAATAAATTAAAGACTTAGATATTATTTAGTTTAGCCTTATACTAACCGGAAAATTGCATTTTCTTTTATGTCCTTTTAGGTTTGTGGCAACTCGCGTGCCAGTGAGTTGAGTGCCAAGCACCTGCACTCGGCCAGCAGCCTGCGCAGCGCCATGGCCACCCGATCACCACCCACTCCCAATTCGGCGGCCCACCTGCAGGCAGCAGCAGCTGCGGCAGCGGCAGCAGCGGCGGGGGCTCGCGACGTGGTCAGCGCAGCCAGCGGCGCAGGAGGACCTGGGACGGGAGTGTCGGCCGGAGGGGCAGCCAGTGGCGCAGGCGCCGGCGGCGGAGGAGGTGGTGGCGGGGGTGGGGGCTCGGCAGCCGCCGTGGCAGCTGCCACCCCGGGCTCTTTGGTGGCCAACGGGTTGGGCTCCAAATGACGCATTCGCATGATGAAACCGAAGAAGAAATACTTGTGCTAGTCAAATTACAAACGAGGGGGTTGGCGGGTGAGCTGAACCATTAAACCATATGCAACCCATACTTATTACAGCTAATATAGAGTTATCCAAAAACCAAAAAGAAAAACAAAAACTATAAGATTGAAAACGTTGTCAGGAAGCATCGTCTCTAAAGACAAACCGAGGACTAGATGATGCTTCGGATACGAAACGCATAAATAGATTCAGATTGATGTGCATTTTCGCTATAGTTTGTAAACTTCGATGTTTTAAGCAGAAAAGGATTAAGGGTAAATGTCTAAAGGATACACTTCTCTAGAATCATTAGGAAACGGTTAACCTTTTTGAATTACTCAGTACGATTACTCGCCATTCCCAGTCTGTGACTCATTGAAATTCCAGTTTAGCATCAGCACTTTCTTGAAATAAAAACCGAAACAGAAAATACATAAATATTATTAACAATATGTGCACACTATTAAAAAAAAATACATAAGCAAGTAAAATCATTAAAGCAACATTTGACAAAAATTCAGTAAAATTCTGTAAGTAAGCAACCCAAAAACAAAAAACAGCATAAAAAACTGAACATAGTAGATTTTATTATTACAATACAGTATATTACTACGGATATGATTATGGCTAATTTATTGATTGAGTTTAATTTATTGATTAGTATTTATTGTATTCCTTAAACTAAACTAAAAGCTAAAAACTAAAAACTAAATGTACTTTTACCATAAACAAATACCAAGTAAATGTTAAACCTAAAAAAACCAAGGCTGCAAGGCTAAAAAGAAAAACCCAAGAAATAAAGTGTTTTAAACCAAACCCGATCCGGACCGATTCATAATACAAATTAGAAAATAACATTTCGATTGGCAGCCTAAAAGAAGGCAGCATTCCTGGCCATGAATTGCGCATTAGTGTGAGTTCGAGTGGTATTCTCTTCGTGCGTCTGTATGTGTGGGGGAGTGTGGGTGTTTGGGTGGGTGTGTGTGCTACAAAACCACAAACTACTGTGATGAAATTTCAATTATCGTCACTCAGCTGCGCCATGTATGTGCCTCTGTGGCTGTGTGCATGTATGGCACACCTGCTGCTGTCGCATTGCAAGCAAGGCGAGCGAGCAAGTAAAAGCTCGTTAGCCCGCCCCTCGTCACTCCCCCCTGTTTGCCACCCCCCTCCCCCCTGGAAGGACGCCCACAACATTTGTTGCACACGCACACATGGCCTGCGGCTACCCACCCACCCACACAACCCACACACACTCTCACATCATTCAGACAGACGGCAGCTGCCTCAACTTTGCCTTTGTCTAGATGCTGTGCTGTGCGCTTTTTTGCAACCCTTCAGCCAACAACAATGATGATGATGGTGGCATTTGCTACCTGAGTGATTTCCTAAAGCCCCAACTGTTGAGGGGGGGGAGTGGGGGAGGTGGAGCTCCCAGCACATTCAAATGGCTGCACGTCCAGCAACCAGGTTGCACGAGCATCCTCCAGCCCTTATCCCATGCAAACATTCGCATTCCCACAGCTACACCCTGTTTGAGGATATGGAGAGTCCACCCCCTGCTTCCGGATAGCCTTTCGTTAGCTTCTATTTAACATGCAGTTATCGTTTGTTATCGCCAGCAGCCACAAGCCAAACTCGAGCGCAGAGCAGGTTGTCAACCGTGGAGAAATGGGAAAGGGGTTGAAAGTTAACGACGAACCTCAGATGCTCTGCAGGGACTGTAAGCGATTTCCTTGTTTACTATCCTAGGTTAAGTCTCATGTGATGAATCCTATCATGCACGGCAGGGGTAAGTAGAGTTTTTTATTTAAAAAGTGAATATGATACTGCAATCCTTCAAAATAAAATCCTAAAGCTGAGATATAAGTATTATCTTATCTGTGGAACAATACACTACCTAATGGAATGAAACATCTGTCGCTAGAAAAATCTGCCCCTTCACACACATCTGCTGCCATATACGATCTCAGCCTTCTCAAAAAGAAAATTATAATTCAAGGAACTTTTTAAATGAAAACCTAATCTGTACCTCCACCTTACTATAGTGTTCTTAACAAAAGTCCCAACCTTTTGTTTTGTATTTCAACTTTAATCGATTACCAATGCATTAACATTAAAACTTGGGCGCTGAAATTTTAATTAAAATGTGACAGGCAACTAGCGCACAATGAGCCCGCTCGCCGGCCTGCTGGCTGGATGGCTGGATGGCTGACTGGCTCGCAGGATATCTTGGTCCTCTGTGTGTCTGGCATAAAAATATTCAGCATAAGTGGCGGGCATTACAACTGAGGCACTGGCAACGGGAACGGCAAAGGCAGAGCTGCGGCGTTGACGGCGGCGCTGGCAGCAATTGTGCCATTTCAATCGACATCTGTTACTGATTTCAAAGAAACTTTTGTTGACAACACAAACAAATGCCAAACACAGAGACCCTGGGCGGCCAGGCGGCAAGGAGGCAAGGAGACGGGGCGCTGGGCCAGGATACCGTCGCCCGGGGGCCCCAAGGTACAAACGTTTGACGCTTGCCTGCGCAGGACCTCCGACCCATAAGCCCGCACCCGGCCACCCGGCCACCCTGCCACCACCTCAAATGCCACATCTTTCCTTGTGGCCCTGAAAGAGACCCGGGACTCACGTGTGGCCCAAAGTGCCGCACAGCTGACGTTAACGTTATCAGCAAGGCGACTGCCGGTGTTTCTCTCTCTCTCTCTTTCTATGTGTGTTTGTGTGAGCCTGCTCCTGGGCCTCCTGGGTGTGTTGGTGTGTGTTTTTGTTTTCGCCGGCTACAAACAAAGTTGACTGAGGCTGGAACTGAGGCCAAAGCTGCCTGCCAGCGAGTCTGAGAGCCTGCATTTGAAGGCTGTGCAGCAAAGGCATGTGACGGCATGAAGGAATAACGAGGGAGTATGAGGGAGGCCATAGTGTATATGTGTATGTGTGTTTTCGGCGGCGCCATTGTCGATAATAACGATGGACTGAGCCCCGGGACGAAGCCGCTTTTGTGCGCGTAACATGTGTCAATTACAGGCACCCACACACACACACACACCCAGACGGAATACCCAGAAGCCCCAGTGCCAGGACCCACCCACGCACCAACACATGCACTTAGTTTCGCTCTCACACCGTCGATAACTCAAAAAGCTGCCAAAAAGTATGAGCACATTTTTTATATGCGCCGCCCGAAAGTATGCACATATTTTTTATATTTGTGCTGCCGGCATTTGACAGCTAAGCGATGCCGGCGTCGCCGCCAGCTGCTCTGCACCTCTGCCACCATGCCGCCCCATGTTAATTTGTGGGCGTCGGAGAAATGGAGAAAGTAAGAGAGAATAAAATTGGTTCTCGGCTTTGTTTGTCCCCTCCTGCGGCTCAGGCAAATAAAAAATGTTTAATTAAAAAAATTTTTTCGAAGCACTGTAACAGGTGGATGCCACCAAGTGCCAAATGGGGTGTTGGAGCCATAGAAAAAGTTTGGAGTTTATAGGAAAGGATGGAGGAGAGTTGGCAGGATATCAATTGGCAGGACTTTCTTTATTTATTATGGTACAGCATGAAAAAACTTAATAGTTCTAATTTTTTGAGCAAATGTTTTTATATTTTAATTGTTTTTTATTAATTGATAATAGAACTAAATGGTAATATATTTAAATTATAAATAATTTATTACTGAACTCCAAGAACCAATGCTCCCGAACTTCAATGTTTAACATCGCCTAGTATCCCCTCTCTGAGTATTATTTCCCCCAAAGTGAAGCTGCAATCGCTCTCTGGCTCTCGCTATCTCTCCAGAGAGTGGGGACCCCGATCTCTACGGTCCCCCCAGAACAAGCTATATAAGTTGGGGACCGATCCCCACAACAGTTAGTCGAGAGATTCAACTTCGTGCGAGCGCTTCGTTACGTAACCGCCGTGTTGTTTATTTTCATCCAATTGTTTGTGGCTTTCCGTATCAAGAACCGTGTGTGATCGTGCGAATAAAAAGTATGCCACACTGGGGGAACTGCACTGACATTGAAAAATGGAATTACATTGAATGGTGGATGGGTGGACTGGCAGCCAAGTTGATCAGATCAGTAGCTTTGTAGTTAAGTGATGTAAACCGATTTTAAAAGCCAAGCAGAACCGGTGCCAAGAACTGCGTGTGCGCAGAGACCCGTCCAAATCGTTGTGCCCGGCATACGAAATAAGTCAAGGTCCCAGCATAGACGCCGTCGCACATAACTCATATACATATGTATTCTGGTAATTGCTTATAGCGCTAGAGATAGCGCCCGTGTCCATGTTGGAAGCCGGGCAAGAAGCAATGAACTTTGGAGCGCGGCGCGTCACTTGATAGCTTTCTTAACCCTTGAAGCGAAACTATTGCAAAACGAATGCACACGTGAAGCGATTTAGTTCGAATTCTGTCGATTCATTGTAGTTGCAATGTTACTGGCACCTGCCAATTGTTTAGTTTTCCCGCTTAGCAAATCACAGTAAGCCGGCAAAACAAAGAACGAGGTCTGCGATATCAGCTGTTCCCACCAGGGCAGGTTCAAGAGCCTCGGGTGCAGTTTTTATGATTTTGATAAGCCGGAGTGGGCAGCACTTAACCTATAGACACATTTTAATAGCTGGTTAGATTAGGGTCGAGTGCCCAGCCACTTCAAGAGCTCCGAAAATTTCCATGGAGGTAATACCTAGAGAGATTAAGCGCCAGCCATTTGAAGCTATTAGGTTAGGTCGTTAATGTTTGGTGTGTGTGAAAGGGTCTAATTAGTCATATATCAATAAACATGGTAGTTTCAGTGACTGACTCTAATTAGCAGCTTGTTTTCTTTTTCCAAATGCTCAAGTTGGCTTTGGAAAAATTCTCCCACTAGTTTGATACTTTGTAGTGCAAAGTTATTACCCGTTCATATGGTAATTGAAATATTCAAAAACTAGTATATGCCATCAATTGCATTAGCCGGATTCAGGTTTAAGCTATTAAAAATAAAGTAATTGAATTAATTGAAGCCTTTGTTGTGGTGTCATGCGTCTAGGTAAGTGCAATGGGGGGATTTACGTTCAGTGGCAGTCTTTCTTCGATAGCCGCCCCCTCTAAATCCCACATATAGC